GTCAGAAGTTCGCCATTCGTGTATTTTGGATTTCGTCTGTAAGTTATTTTCAGCATTTCTGTAGAATATAATGGTATTTTTTCACACAGAAGTTATGGTCTGCTGTCCTAAACTTTAATTTCACGCGAGATTTTGTTCCTTTAGTTTCTTAACCTTTATAACGGCTGCAAGATAAGGAACATTTTTAGTTGTTGGTCCCTTTAAACCCCTAAATATATTGCGGGCATCTTTTCGTGATGATCGGACGACAATTGCAATCAGTGTTGTATTGTGAAAAAATATTACAAAATATACACTTCAATGTTATAAGTCAAATTAAAAAAAATCGCATGCGATAAAAAATATGAAAAAAATAAAAAAATGTCACAAAATACTACAAAATCCATATTAACATCATCATAGTCGTCTTTTTTTTGCGATTTTTAGATTTTATACTTTTATGCCAAGAGGGCATTGTGAATAGACAACATTTGTCAAAATCGGTCCAGTCATTCTTGACATGTAAGCATTCTAGCTAACACCCTTCCTTTGTATATATACATTGAATATTCGCTACATACATCCGACATATTTACTATTTTTACCACCTCCATACAAAATTTCGTAAAGATCGGGCCATAATTATGACCTGTAGAGTGATTAAAAAATAAACAGGGACAGACGGACGGACGGACATACATAGCTAGATCAACACAGCTCGGCGAGATAGGAAGATCCATATATACTTTCTTACGTGTGAAACGAATATTCCGAAGTGTTACATAATTTTTGGCCCAATCAAACTTATAATACCCCCAACACAAAGTGTTTTAGGGTATAAAGTATTAGTATAAAAATCGCATGCGATAAAAAATATGACAAAAAATTGAAAAAAAAATTAAAAAATATTAATTTTTTTACCGCATGACTTACTTGTACATTTCTTAATATTTTTCACCTTCTTTTAGAAGATGTTCAAGGAATATATAAGGTTTAAAATGTTGACGAATTGGTCTAGATTGCAGGATTACTTGGCATTATTTTAAGAATTAAATAATAAATATTTAACATGCATGAAAAAAATTTGAATGTGACATTTCTGTTCCTTCCGAAAAAAATCAGTTTCGACAAATGCCGATATTTTTATACCCTCCACCATAGTATAAAGGGTATATTACGTTTGTCATTCTGTTTGTAAGACCTTGAAATATACATTTTAGACATGTCGATTTAGCGATGTCCGTCCGTCTGTGGAAATCATTCTAGCTTCCGAACGAAATGAAGTAGATTGATGTAATTTTACTCAAATGTATATTATGTCTGTAGGTCCACGTTTTGGTATAACACCATATAACGGTACCCCCGATATTCGGTATTTTGATGACTTTAGCGACATTATTCACCGGAATTGTTTCAAATTGTTTATTTGAAGTTCGTAATGGATACTGCAGCCTAAGGTAGAAAATTGTCTGTTCAGGTCCATAACTTCTTATAGCCCCCACATAACGATACCTCACTGTGTTTGGTATTTTGATGATTTTAGAGACATTATTCATCGGAATTGTTTCAAATTTGGTATTTGAAGTTCGTAATGGATACTGCAGCCTAAGGCAGAAAATTGTCTGTTTAGGTCCACATTTTGGTATAGCCCCCATATAATAGTACCTCCCTATATTGATGATTTTATTTACATTATTCACCAATTTTTTTTCAATTTTCGGATTTGAATATTGTAATGGCTTATGATAAAAGTTGCAAAACCTGCATAGGTCCACGTCGTCCTTTAGACCCTAATATGACGGCTACACTTGGTGTTTTTAAGATTTTAACAGCATTTGCATTCGTTCCAAATGGTTGTATTCATTGTAGTATGATTCCTTCCAAGAGTTGAAAATTTAATGTTATCGTCACAAGGTATTTTAAACTGCAATATGAGCAATACATACCCACATCCAACTTTTTCCATCAATATTGAACCTGTGTGTGTGTGCGTGTTGAAAATAAGTTGATAATAATGTTTACGTCTTATACACCTCCCATCGTTTGCTTCTAATTAATTAAACCCCTTTTGTCTAACAGAGTTTACCTTGCACTTCTCACATCAGCGTAAAAGGTTGTTAATGAAAGAGAAACTTTCGAAATGCAAAGTTAAAGTAGATTTCTTATGAGTAAATGCCATTAATCGGAGCGTAGTTGTTCTTATGTCATTTAAAGCTTTTTTTCCGTGTAATGGTATTGGTTTACTTAGCTGAAAATGTGATGTAACATTCTGTGTAATTGAAGAGCATATTATATAGAGAAAAGTAAAATGCAAATATATTTTGTCATATACTTAGAGCAGGTCTATTTCCATTAAAACTTTATTCAAATGGGGGTTATAGCAACAAAAAAGAGTTGAACTGAGATACAAAGTTGCTTAAAAAAGCCCACAGCGCAAAATATTTGATTCTTTATTTAGAATAAAAGTTGAAATAATGTTACAACAAATTAAAACGTAACAAACGATTTTGAAATATGAAAGACAATACCAAAATTCATATTTTCGAACAGTACATTCATGCCTATAAAAAAATTAAACAGAGGCTATAGTCGGGCGGACCGACCATTTGATAACCTACAGCACTACAATTTGGGGTAAAGTTTCTGCAGATTTGAAACCCTTTTGACTAGAATGAAGATTCCCTTCAAAAACCATTCCCATACAGGGTGAGATGAAAAAACTGCAACCAACTTAAGACTGCTGTCGTTTCTAAGCCACTCGTCCGACAGCTGTTAAAATTATTTCAGTGATTATTTACAAGCGTACAAAAACATTTTGGTTAGAATTTTCCGGAAAGAAAAAGTTATTCGTGATTGAATTCAAGCGTGATAGTGTGATTTCTTTATATTTGGCTGGGACACCAAAAGTGGCCATGGTTAGAGCACTCCAGCATTTAAACCGTGATACTGGTAGTGTAGTCCGACATCAAGGAAGTGGACGGAAGAAAACAGCAACATTAGCAGAAATAGTTTGAAAAGTAAAGAAGCGACTTGATCGAAACCCATGTCGCAGTGGCCAAAAAATGGCTGGTGAGCTGAACCCATCGCAATATTCCATTCGGCAAATATTAAAGAATTAACTCGGGGTAAAGCCATTGAAATTCCAAAAACTGCATGAACTTACACCGCAACAGAAAGAAAATAGACTCAAAAGAGCTAAAGAAAATATTGTACTGCCGAATTTGGTTTTCTCCGCTCCGATGAGAAAACATCCGTTGTAGAGCAGTTTGTAAACAAACAAAATGATCGTGTTTACTTGCCAAAGAGGTCAGCTGAAAATGTACAACTTCGGTTGGCCACCTGAACTCAAGCGCCGGCTATGGTGATGGTGTGGGCCGCCATAACAGCCAATGGTTGCTCTCCGGTCGTATTTGTCGACCGTGGCATCAGAATAAATGCCAAATATTATCGCGAAAATATTCTGGAGGGTGTATGAAAGCCTTGGGCACACAAACATTTGGCTCCAGACCTTGGACATTCCAAAAGGACATTGCACTCAGCACGCGCCACTCAAGAATGGTTACAAAATGAGGTTCCTCGCTTCATTTCCAGCGCACAATGGCCACCAAAATCTCCGGATACCAATCCGATGGACTATTGTGTCTGGAGTATTTTGGAAAGCAAGGTTGGCACCAAAAAAATACCAAAGTGTCGATCACCTCAAGCAAGCGCTTCGCCGGGAATGGGCCAAAACACCGCAGAGCAACATTTGGGCAGCGTGTGAAGGTTTTATTGGCCGTTTGAAGGCCATAACTCGTGCCAAAGGTGACCAATTCGAACAAATCTAAACCTATTCTAAAAGTTGATGCTATTTTCCGACATTTTTTGCTTTCATTCAATAAATTAAAAAAAAAACAAGTAAAAAAGCATTAAGTTCCACCTTAGGGTAATGGAAACATTAGAACCAATTATGATCCACAAATACCTATTTTTAGACATATTCGTGGGAAAATGTGGCAAAAATCATGAAAATGCCGAATATCGGGAGGTACCGTTATATGGAGACTATACCAAAACGTGGACCGATATATGTCATTTTCTATACCGTCCTAGACACAATACAAATTATTCTGCTAAATTTTGATGCTCTACGTCAAATAATGTGGCCTGTATCGTGATTTCAACAGACAGACAGACGGAAAGACAGACAGACGGGCATCGTTAAATCGACTTAGAATTTTATGCTGATTATGAATATATATACATTATGGGGTCTACGACGAATATTTAGACATATTACAAATGGAATGAAAAAGTTAATATACCCTCCTTTTTGACTTTGTTGCAGTTTTTTATCTCAACCTGTACGTCACTAACCATCATACCTTGTACACTGACCTTGTCAAATAGACCCTGATTTGCCTATCTCATTTCAAATTAAATTAAACTTAAAATTGTATTGACTATTTCTGTACCTCATAACAAAGAGTTATTAGTTAATCTTTCAAAATGGTTGCATAGTAAATTTTCCCCATAAAAGTTCTCATTAATCCACCTCCCACAAGAAAGTTGCAGTTAATCATTATATACTTTACACTAGCTTTATTATCTACACAAAGCGTTTCAAAACAATACCGAGAAGAAAAGCATTAATTTATGACGTTTTCTAATTCCTCAGTTAGTGCATCAAAGCTACTGCAGCTTATGGTAACGTTAAATACAGCTTTTTCTGCGCATTTTTTGTTGCCATCCATTCAAAGAGAGAATTATTGCTTCATGAAGGAGGGTAGTAAAAATAGATAACTCTTTTTATGTGCTTACATAAATTTACATTTTAAGGCAACTAATTAGACCATAATGCATAATTTATGCAACGTTGAAAAAATTAAGAGATACATTTTATTTTTAACTGTGATAGTAATATTGGTGATAATTGTTATTGCTAATTAATATGTATAAACAAGTATTTATTCTATTTAGTTCCTTTTTTTATTATTTATTTTTTTATTTTATTAGTTTATCGTACATTAAAGTAATTATTATTAATTTCCCTTCAATTTCTTAGATTCTTTCGATCGTCGGTACTCTCTTTTATAGAAGCGACCAAAAAGTATCAAAAACGAAATCATATAAACAATGGTGGCACAATTTATCCATTCAGGAAAATCACATCGATTTACCAGAGCTTGAACGGCCCAAAGCAGGCCAAGTGTAAATTGTAACTGAAACGAATAATGCGAATTTTAACATTGATTTTAGTCCTCCGATGTTGTAAAAACTTAAAACTTATACGTTACCAATTGTAAACCGGTTAGATATTTTTTCCACCACAGATATTTTTGTACAGCCGGACCACATGCACTTAGGCCATAGTAGGTGTACATTATTACATGGACAAAGGAATTAATAAGTGCGGGAAAGAAGGCTGGAAATAAAGAATTAAAATTTGAATAAAAATTAAGTATCTGACTTAAGTATCGTCTGTCCATGTTAATTTGTAATCACTCTACAGGTCGCAATTATGGCCCGATCTTCACGAAATTTAGAATGGAGGTGGGGCTAGGGTCAGAATAGAACCCTATTTCTTTTGGAGATGATCGCCAAATGTTTATGGGTTGGAATGGACCAAATACTAAAAAAATGTCGGATTTTGCAGTAGCTATACAGGTCGCAATTATAGACCAATCAACGCGGAATTTCACATGTAGCTAGAGTTTAGGGCGGGGAAGAAGCCTACCAATTTGGGTGATCATCGGATAATATTTAGCGGGTAAAATAGACCATATCTTTTTTGTTGAAAAAAATTCAAAATTTTTCATTAAACCGCGAATATTTTAAATCCCTCCGAAATCACAAAGCCATGACAAGGTTACTTCTGACCTTTACATTGATGTTAACATCCAACAAAACGGATATATTGCAAAATATGTGCGATATATATGTCTATCAAAGAAGATATGCTTGAAAGATCTCTTATATGTCGAGAACGGCTGAACTGATTTCGACAGTTCTCATTAATTCAGAATGGCCTCTTGGCAGGAAAGAAAAGAACGTCTAAAAAATCGCATAAAAATATCTCTATAAAGATGAAAATATTGATTTTCTAATATTTTCTCATATTTTTTCAATGTTGTCATATTTTTGGCATATTTTCATTTTGAATTAAACATTTGGTAATATTTCTACAGCTAACAAAACTAAGTAGTTAGGATATCAGGATATCATATACAGATCTTATTTATGGCCCGATCTTTACGAAATTTTGCATGGGGATAAGATGAGGGTCAGAATAGAAGCCTACTCTTTTTTGAGATGATCGACATATGTTTAGGGGTTAAAATGGACCAAAAAACTGCAAAATTGTCAGGAGGTCGTAATTATCGCCCGATCCTCACGCACATTTGAATGTGGGTTACCGGACATTGCAAAAGCCAAGCAGTTTTGGATGGCCATCCAAAAATATTCAATGTGTGAAGGAGTTTGTCAACTTTTGTAGACAAAATACGAAAATGTCCATTCCAGTGACTTTTTGGAGAATTCACAAATACAGGAAAGACGCACTTCTGACTATTTCGTTAACGCTGATTTCGTTGAAGAATATAGTCACATGTCTGTATTTCATATAGATGCGTTTCAGTCAAAAACAAATAATAAATTTTAATCTTTTGCCACTTCTGAGAGATTATAGATCTTTGGGAAATATTGGTTCCAGATCTAGGAAGACCATTTACGTGCAACATCTACCAATAAATTGGAAATGAGCAAATTCGTTTAAGTTACTATTATTCGAAAATTAGAGAACGAAACATGATGGTTTTTTTATTATTTGTCACAATATCTTGTGGAATTCTTTCGAGTATCTCGCCTATATAAAATGTATCGTTTATTATAGTGTTGTATGGTATTCAACGGTCGGCCCCGCTCGACTGTAGCCTTTGCTTACTTGTTTTTTTTTTTTGTTTTTTTGAGGTTCTTCTTGGAGTCACTTTCTGAGTCGATTTATGCATGTCAGTCCGCCAGTCTGTCCGTTTTCGTGAACAAAATACAGGTCGGATTTATTATTCGATTGACCCAATGACCAATATCAGTCCAAACGATCTAAATTTTGGCACATCCGACCGAATTCAACATCGAATGATGTACAAAAATCGGTTCAGATATAGCTTAGCTCCCATATATATGTTCCATCCTATTTCGAGTTTTAAGTTCCTCAGATACGTAATATGCGCTACACTACAATAAATCGTCTCAGAATTGGATATGACTTCCATATATTAGTTCCCTCTAAAACCAAATTATAGCTGCTCCAAAGCCAAATATTAATAAGTGGTCAAATATTTTTTTTTTCTGTTACGGAGCTCATATAGTCGGCCCAGCCCAACTTTTTACTTTTCCTTACTGTTTTATACCCTCCACCATAGCGTATATTAAGTTTGTTATTCCGTTTGTAACACCTCGAAATATACATTTTAGACCCCACAAAGTATATATATTCTTGATCAGCATAAAATTCTATGTCGATTTATCAATGTCCGTCTATCCGTCTGCCCGTCTGTGGAAATCACTCTAGCTTCCGAACGAAATGAAGTAAGTTGATAAAAATTTACTCAAATGTGTATTATGTCTGCAGTACTTTTGGGCTATGTAGGTCCACGTCTTCGTATAGCCCCAATATAACTGTACCCCTCGATATTCGGTACTTTGATGATTTTAGCGACATTATTCACCGGGATTATTTCAAATTTGGTATTTTAAGTTCGTAATGGATGCTACAGCCTAAGACAGAAACTTGTCTGTGCAGGTCCACGTCGTCGTATTTCGCCCATATTACGGTACCTCCCTGTTTTCGGTATTTTGATGATTTTAGCGACAGCGAATTGCTTCAAATTTGCTGTTTGGAGTTCATAATGGATACTACAGCCTATGACAGAAAATTGTCTGTGCAGGTCCACATCTTCTTCTTGAAAATTGCCAACATCTTTCCAAATGGTTGGGGGCATTCAAATATCGTCCCGGCCGAACTTACAGCTTTTTTACTTGTTTTATTATTTTCCCACTTTTTCGAAAATAATGAGGAATTAATTACTTTGTTATAGTACCTGCAAGAATCTGCTATTTTTGCAATTTTCTTCGTGTCATAAAGGGAAAATCGGTTATCGTAATAAAAACTTTTACATTCTTGCAGTCTGGAACAGAGCAAATGTTTGCTCCATTTAATAATTGAACTTTAAATTTTGTTGTTGTTGATGATTCCCAATACATACTTGATCCAGTTGGTACCCATTTTATGGCTATCCACCACAATGGAAACATAGTGCTGTGATGATAGACATGTAGCGGAGTCAGCTGTTTCCACTTTTGCCGTAAAATGAAAAATGCAGTATCTGAAAACTCCAGTAATTTTGAGAAATAAAACCACCATACAGCGGAGGCTAACTAGAGATAAATATATATTAATTCATTAATACATATTATTAATTAATTATGAAAAATAATATTACCTTGATTTCATGTTCAGAATAAATCACTCTACATGGCTGACACCAATAGCTGTATTTCAAATGTGATGCATTTATTAATAGTTCCTTAAAAATGTGTAAATTTAATAATGCCATAGATAAATTGTAGATAATTAGAAGACCATGAAGTTTAAATGGTTTGAATCTGAAATGGAAGAAGTAAGATTGGGTTGGCTTAAATCAAAAGTACGAACTAGATGATGATAATGACATATTACATATATTATACAAAATGTGCAGTTTAAAAGATAAATTTTAACACTGAAATTGCAACTTAAATCTATGATAAAACAAGTAAGCAAAGGCTACAGTCGAGCGGGGCCGACCGTTGAATACCCTACAACACTATAATAAACGAAACTGTTTATATAGGCGAGAAACTCGGAAGAATTCCACAAGATATTGTGACAAATTATAAAAGAAAACCATCAGGTTTCGTTCTCTAATTTTCGAATAATAGCAACTTAGACTAATTTGCTCAATTCCAATTTATTGGTAGATGTTGCACGTAAATGGTCTTCCTAGATCTGGAACCAATATTTCCCAAAGACCTATAATCTCTCAGAAGTGGCAAAATATTAACATTTATTATTGGTTTTTGACTGAAACGCATCTATATGAGATACAGACATTTGACTATATTCTTCCACGAAATCAGCGTTAACGAAATAGTCAGAAGTGCGTCTTTCATGTATTTGTGAATTCTCCAAAAAGACACTGGAATGGACACTTTCGTATTTTGTCTACAAAAGTTGACAAATTATTCACACATTGAATATTTTTCGATGGCCATCCAAAACTGCTTGGCTTTTGCAATGTCCGGTAACCACCATTCAAATGAGCGTGAGGATCGGACGATAATTACGACCTGCTGACAATTTTGCACTTTTTGGTCCATTTCAACCCCTAAATATATGGCGATCATCTCAAAAAAGAGTAGGCTTCTATTCTGACCCTCATCTTATCCCCATGCAAAATTTCGTAAGGATCGGGCCATAAATGCGATCTGTATATGATATCCTGATATCCTAACTACTTAGTTTTGTTAGCTGTAGAAATATTACCAAATGTTTAATTCAAAATGAAAATATGCCAAAAATATGACAACATTGAAAAAATATGAGAAAATATTAGAAAATCAATATTTTCATCTTTAGAGAGATATTTTTATGCGATTTTTTTTGACGTTTCTTCTTTCCTGCCTAGAGGCCATTCTGAATTAATGAGAACTGTCGAAATCAGTTCAGCCGTTCTCGACATATAAGAGATCTTTCAAGCATATCTCCTTTGATAGACATATATATCGCACATATTTTGCAATATATCCGTTTTGTTGGATGTTAACATCAATTTAAAGATGAGAAGTAACCCTGTCATGGCTTTGTGATTTCGCAGGGATTTAAAATATTCGCGGTTTAATGAAAAATTTTGAATTGTTTCAACACAAAATATATGGTCTATTTACCCGCTAAATATTATCCGATGACCACCCAAATTAGTAGGCTTCTTCCCCGCCCTAAACTCTATCTACATGCGAATTGATTGGTCTATAATTGCGACCTGTATAGCTACTGCAAAATCCGACATTTTTTCAGTATTTGGTCCATTTCAACCCCTAAACATTTGGCGATCATCTCCAAAAGCAATAGGGTTCTATTCTGGCCCAAGCCCAACCTACATTCTAAATTTTGTGAAGATCGGGCCATAATTGCGACCTGCAGAGTGATTACAATTTAACATGGACAGACGGACAGACGGACGGACGGACATACATAGCTAGATCGACTCAGCTCGGCGAGCTAGGAAGATCCATATATACTTTCCTATGTGGGAAACCAATATTTCGAGGTGTTACATAATTTTTGGCCCAATCAAACTTATAATACCCCCAACACATAGTGTTGTAGGGTATAAAAATTCTTATTGTTGAAAACAGGATATGGGATAATAATATTCCCAGTTGTAGGCACTTGTAAGAGGTACTAACCGATATGGTCCAAAATTTGTTAGCTGACAGCCAAAACCATAATTTTAATATGTTTTTATACCCTACACCACAAGGTGGTCAGGGTATTATGTCTTTGTGCATTTGTTTGTAACAGGCAGAAGGAAACGAGATAGACCCATAGTTCCTTTTGATGATCTGCATAGAATCACATTCTGAGTCGATTTATGCATGTCCGTCCGTCCGTCTGTCCGTCCGTCCGTCCGTCTGTCCATGTATTTTTGTAAACAAAGTACAGGTCACATTTATTGCCCGATCCAGATGAAATTTTGCAAAGATCTTTTTTTTTGGCCCAAGGACGAACACTATTGAAATTGGAAATAATCGGTCAAAATTTAGATATAGCTCCCATATATATCTTCACACTCATATACACTCAAATTAGGCCTGAAAATATGTATGCCAAATTTGATCAAATCGGTTCAGATATAGCTATAGCTCCCATATATATTGTTCATCCGATTTGTTAGTTTTGTCCACCGCCGCCGTAATATGCACTATGCAACAGCAATATTTGGAGAAATATATCAAATACAGCTCAGAAATACATTTGCTAAATTTTATCGAGATCGGTTCAGATATGGATATAGCTCCCATATATAAGTTCGTCCGATTTACCTTTTATTGTGCACCAAACGTCTAATATTTGTCCAAATGGGATGGAATTTGGCACTTACGACCGAATTGAGTCTAGAAGCTAGTATGTCAAATTTGGTGAAGATCGGTTCAGATATAGCTATAGCTCCCATATATACTGTTCATCCGATTTGTTGTAATATGCCGTAATATGCCCTCCGTAACAACGATATTCAGGGAAATATATCAAATACAGCTCAGAAATACATTTGCTAAATTTTATCGAGATCGGTTCATATATGGATATAGCTCCCATATATAACTTCGTCCGATTTACTTTTTATTGTGCAACAAACGTCTAATATTTTCCCAAATGGGATGGAATTTGGCACATACGACCGAATTTGGTGAAGATCGGTTCAGATATAGCTCCCATATATATTGTTCATCCGATTTGTTATTTTTGTCCTTCGCAGCCGTAATATGCACTCCGTAACAACGATATTCAGTGAAATATATCAAATACAACTCAGAAACATCTTTGACAAATTTTATCGAGATCGGTTCAGATTTAGATATAGTTCCCATATATATCTTTATCCGATTTCAAATTAGTTATGCACCTAATGGGCAATACAATTCCGAATTTAAAAGATACAAATGCTTCGGCATATTTAGTCCTTTGAACTTTAAATTATAATTATAATCATAGCGTGTATAATTGAATTCTCCCATAAAAACTTTTAATTGTTATGTGGAGCTCTACTTAATTAGCAAAGTGGTGTAGGGTATCACAAAGTCTGCCCCGCCCGACTTTAAGACTTTCTTTACTGTTTTTTTTTTCAAATTTCCCAAACGATTTTGCTGTGATTTGCTTTGAATTAGGGAAAAGTTTGAACCAACTAAATTAATATTTACTCCTCTAATTTTCCAAAGCGCTATTTTAAAACAAAAAAAAAAAAAAAAAAAAACTGCAACCAAATTCAGACAGCTGTCATTTCTAAGCCACTCGCCCGACAGATGTTCAAATTATTCCAGTGACAGCTCATTATATTGTTTACAAGTGCACAAAAGCATTTTGGTGAGAATTTTCCAGAAAAAAAGTTATTCGTGATGGAATTCAAGCGTGATAGTGTGACTTCTTTATATTTGGCAGGAAAACCACAAGTGGCTATCGTTAGAGCACTCCTGCATTTTAATGTGAATAAATCTTTTGTGTCTCGTATCATCGCTCGTTGCCGTGATACTGGTAGCGTAGCCCGACGTCAAGGAAGTGAACGTAAGAAAACAGCATCATCAGCAGAAATGGTTCGAAAAGTAAAGAAGCGACTTGATCGAAACCAGCATCGCAGTGGCCGAAAAATGGCTCGTGAACTGAACATATCCCAATATTCCATTCCAGAGCTGAAGAGTTGCTTTTCTTGGCCAAAAGTGGTGATCTGTCGAATTTGGTTTTCTCCGAGGAGAAAACATTCGCTGTCCAGCAGTTTGTAGACAAACAAAATGATCGTGTTTACTTGCCTAAGAGGTCAGCTGAAAATGTGCACCTTCGGCTGACCACCAGAACTCTAGCGGCGGCAATGATGGTGTTTGGCTCCATAACAATCGATGGTCGGTCTCCGCTGGTATTAATCGTCTGTGGCATCAGAATAAATGCCGAATATTATCGCGCAAATATTTGCGCTGTAAGGGCTGTAATATACCCGCCTTGGCCACGCAAACAGTTTGGCCGCAGACCTTGGACATTCTAACAGGACTCAGCACCATCGCACTCAGCTAGCGCCACACAAGAATGGCTACAAAATGAGGTTCATCGCTTCATTTCCAACGCACAATAGCCACCAAAATCTCAGGATACCAATCCGGTTGACTATTGTGTCTGGAGTATTTTGGAAAACAAGATTGGCACTGAAAAAATACCAAAGTGTCGATCACCTCAAGCAAGCGCTTCGCCGGGAACGGGCCAAAATACCGCAAAACAACATTCGACGTGCTACGGTTTCACTGGCCGTTTGAAGGCCTTAATTGGTGCCAAAGGTGACCAATTTAAACAAATCAAATCTTATTCTAAAATGTGATGCTATTTCCGACATTTTTTGATTTCATCCAATAAAATTTAAAAAAAAATATGTCTAAATTATAGCGGTTAACTTTGTTGAATTTTTTTATCCCACCCTGTATTCTACTCTTTCCATTATTTCATTTTACTTTTATTAAAATAGTGGGAGAGGATCTAATTTATATAGGATAAGTTTGCCTAAGTTCGGCATGTCCCAGTAGTCGGCACTTTTTATTTTTAAGCCCAAATAAATGAAACTATTATAACTAAATGTCTTTTGTTTACTTCAAATATATTGTCAGCTATCTTTGTGCACAATTTCGCTAAGAAAAGATGATTTATTCTAATAAAAAATAATTTTTTGTCTGTGAAGGTCCTCAACAATCCATATTCTTAAGCAAAGTACAATGAAGACGTCGAATCAGTTAAACTAAGTAAAAATATTATATTTTTATGAATTAATTTATTATTATTATTATTAACTATTCTTACAAAAAAATCGGTATGCCGACAAATTTATGAAATTTAATAAAAATTTGTTAAAACTTTATTTATTATTGCAAAAACTATACAAAATTTCGAATCTGAGTAAATTAACTTTGTAATAATTGAAAAGTTTCACTCAGAATTGTAAGCGATTAAAAACGCGAAAATCCTAAAAGTGCCGACTACTGGTACACTTACCCTATGTGGCTAAGGAATTTGTAAAAACGGCATTTCAGTAATTTAATACATTTCCAAATTCAAATTAGAAGTCGGACAATTTTCAATTTTTATTTGAAAATCAATATGTGCATCTTAAAATTTATATACTTCCATTGGTATTTGAAATGGTTCTCTTTCATATCTTAACACATGTCTATAATTTTTCTTTACTTTTTAATAAAAATGTTCCACTATATAGTACCAAAAAGATAGACGTTCAGTCCCAACAATTAATTAATGTAATTTACACTCACGTCACTCATTACAAATATTTTATCCAAAAAATCAATTTAAAAATTCAACTTTTATTACTTTGCAAATAAACCCAATCGAAATTTACCTTTTGAAAAATTTCGATATGTATACAGCCATTATAAGGTATGCAGCTACCCACATCAAAACTGGGTTCAACGACGACACCAACAACCAATCCTGGGTTCGAGGATCAGCTAAATGCTCATAACGATATATCCATGAATTCGAATTGTCGTTAACGGAACAATTTAAAATATTTTTCGACGACGATTTGAACGAAGCCATTGCAGCAGACGAAGCAATTTTTCTCTTCCAAATTTCTTAATAAGACTGAAATCAATAATTTTTTATATGTCTTATTTATAAATTTTTGTAAAGCCTTCAACCCTAAGAAATGTAGATTCCCAAATTTTAATACAGCTATAATGTCTTTAATTTCATTAAAACGTTTTGTTTGTTAGGTCTACTGCCCCGCTATTAAATTGACCGCAAACAGTTGACATGCGCGACATGCAACGGCATTACTCAAGCGTAACGTTTCATTGTCATTGCTAATAGGGTACGGCTGTAGGTCAAGTTGTTAACCAAAATGCATAAATTCTCTGTTTTGATGGCCTTGAAATTGCTTTGGTGTTTTCACTGCCAATGCGTGTAAATTTTCATTCTTAAATGTCACTGACCCATTACTCTCCATAATTGTGGTGTTGCATAACATGTTCATGGTATTGTGACGAATAAATACTTTCGAGTACAGAAACATAAATGTTTCAGTTTCATTATTTGTTGTATGTTATTATAATACTGATTGAAATTCAAGATGATTCAAGAGGTCAAGAGAGTTCATAATTTAAGTCTCTGGCATATGAATGAAGAAAAAAACGAGAAAACTAAAATTAATGAAGTATAAAATATAAAATATATTATACCCACGTGATTGTCCCATTGGAAATCTCCTGTTAAAAAATTTATGTAAATATCAAATTTTCGTCATTGTACAACATTTTATAGCCCCACCATACTATAGAGGATATATTAAGTTTGTTATTCCGTTTTTTATTATCCGAACAAGCATTTTAGACCCCACAAAGCAAACGATTCCGTGAGTTTCCATTTTGCCTTGTCCGGTTGTGGAAATCACTCTGACTTCCGAACGAAACCACAAGTGGCTATCGTTAGAGCACTCCAGCATTTAAATGTGAATAAATCTTTTGTGTCTCGTACCATCGCCCGTTATCGTGATACTGATAGCGTAGCCCGACGTCAAGGAAATGGACGGAAGAAAACAACAACATCAGCAGAAATGGTTCGAAAAGTAAAAAAGTGACTTAATCGAAAACCGCGTCGCGTTGTCGTTGTCGAAAAATGGCTCGTGATCTTAACATAACCCAATATTTCATTCGGCAAATATTGAAAACGTAGCTCGGGGTAAAGCCATTGAAATTCCAAAAAGCGCATGAACTTACACCGCAACGTAAAGAAAATAGACTCAAAAGATTCAAAGAGTTGCTTCGCTTGACCGAAAGTGGTGAACTGCCGAATTTGGGTTTCTCCGATGAGAAAACATTCGTTGTCCAGTCCTTGGGCACGCAAACATTTCGACCGCAGAACTTGGACCTTCCATCTGGACTCAGCACGCGCCACCCAAGAATGATTTCAAAATAGGGTTCCTTGCTTCATTTCCAGCGCACAATACCCACCAAAATCTCCGGATACCAATCAAGGTTGGAACTAAAATATACCAAAGTGTCGATCACCTCGAGCAGGCGCTTCGCCGGGAATGGGCCAAAATACCGCAGAGCAACATTCGGGCAGAGTGTGACGGTTTCATTGGCCGTTTGAAGGTCATAATTCTTGCCCAAGGTGACCAATTCGAACAAATCTAAACTTATTCTAAAATTTGATGCTATATCCGACATTCATTCAATAAAATTAAAAAAATGTAAAAATTATGGCGTTTGACTTTGTTGCGGCTTTTTTATATCACCCTGTATAGAAAAACATTTTCCTATAGCTTCAATAGCCTTAAAAATTATTAACGTTTGTAAAGATGTTACAAAAGTGATAAAAGTGTTGAGTGCTTAAATAAAAGTGCAATAGAAACTCAAAGTACAGAAGCTTTTGTTAAATAATTTGTTGTTTATGTATAAGTCAAAAAATATACACAACATTTATTTTATCGTACTAAAAGACTCCCATGGTCATCCTGCTTTAAATTATTTTGCTAAGGTTTATTATATCGAAACCTATCTATTTTTTTCTTAAATAAATATATGTATACTCCTTTCATATAGCAAACAAACCGAAAACTCGACATCTAGTGGAGAAAAAACAAACATATCGCCAAAAGTCGATAAAGCTGTTCTATCTTCCAATTCGCTATTTCCTATACACACAATTAGTTGTACAGTACAGTACCGCAATACAAATACGTTGTTATTATTCGAAGTAATTGTAAATAACGGGAACAGAATGTGGATGATAAGCTTTCTAACTGAACTTTTAGTACAAACAAAAGCTTTAGTACAACAAAAGCACGGAAAAATTTAATCCAACCTTTGGCACAAAAAACATATATTACTTCAATAGTGTGGAAATTATTTTAGGTCTGGGGTTGTATTCTTTTTCTATTGAATGGAAAAATCCATATCTATAAGAGAGGAAAATGTTTGTATGTTTGATTTTTCTTTTGTTTTCAACATATGATTTTCCTGAAAATTTTCAAATATGCTACAGCATCGCCTGAAAGTAACAAAAGCTGTATAATTTTTTGAAAATCCACTTGCAGCTGGAGATATAATGCCAGAATCGGAGGTACCTCCAAAAAAAATTTAAATGGAAAAAATCCATATCTATAAGAGGGAAAATATTCGTACGTTTGATTGTTCGTTTGTTTGTAGCATATGATTTTCCTGAAAATTTTCAAAAATGCGACAGCATCGCCTGAAAGTAACAAAAGCTGTATAATTTTTTGAAATTCCACTTGCAGCCGGAGATATAACATCAGAATCGTAGGTACCTCCAAACATATAGATTTTTTATGCACATATCTTTTGATTGTTTACAGACACATTCTCTAAATTTGGAATGCGTAACGAAAATTGATACAAAAATTAAGTTGCCAAATAATATTCAAATCGGTAAAGATTTGGATATAGCTCCCATACATATTTTTCGCCGATTTCACATATTTGATGCACCAAAAACGACATGTATAACCGATTCCAATAATATTCGAAATGAGTGACAGTACTTGGTACAAATATGAATTTGGTAAATTATATTAAAATCGGCTCAGATTTGATGCACCTAACACGCTATGTATCTCCAATTATAATAAAATTTAGAATGTTCAAAAAACTCGCTTTCAATGAAGTTTCGAATGTATGACGGAAAATAAGACACCACAAAGTATATATATTCTTGATCAGCATAAAATTCTATATCGATTTAGCTATGTCCGTTCGTCTATCCGTCTGTCCATCTTTGGAAATCACTCTAACTTCCAGAAATCACTAGCAGTAGATTGATAAAATTTTACTCAAATGTATATTGTGTCTGCAGGACTTTTGGTATTGAAATTGGGCCACGTAGGTCCACGTTTTGGTATAGCCCCCATATAACGGTAACTCCCGATATTCAGTATTTTGATGATTTTAGTGACATTATTCACCGGAATTGTTTCAAATTTGGTATTTGTAGTTCGGAATGGATACTACAGCCTAAGACAGAAAATTGTCTATGCAGGTCCACGTCTGCGTATAGCCCCCATGTAACGATACCTCCCTATATTCGGCAATTTGTTGATTTTAGCGACATTATTCACCGGAATTATTTCAAATTTGGTATTTGAAATTTGTAATGGATACTGAGACAGAAAATTGTCTATGCAGTTCCACGTTTTGGTATAGCCCCCATATAACGATACCTCCCTATATTATTCACCGAATTTTTTCTTTTTCAAGTTTCGCATTTGAACATTGTAATGGCAAATGACAAAAGTTGCCTATACAGGTTCACGTCGTCGTATAGACCTTAATATAACGGATACATTCGGTATTGTTAAGATTTAAATAGAATTCTTAATGGATTTTATACTCTTGAAAATTGTCAAATTTTTTGCAAATGGTGGAGGGTATTCAAAGGTCGGGCAGGCCGAACTTAAAGCTATTTCCCTTGTTTTTTTTTTTTAAATTTGTAGTAAAAGGATGCGAAAATTTCTAAAATGTACTAAAAGCTATAGATGTACCAAAGAATTTTGGAAATTCGAACTATAAGGTTACGAAAAGTTTTAAAGTGGTACTAAACTACTAAAATTGTGCCATTTGGCACAATTTGAACGTATAGATCTAAAAACTTGAGATTTCTGTTATGAAAATCAAGATTGGAAAGTAAGTTCGGTATTTATAGGAGGTTTTGGAAAGTAACTAACTACGAGTGGGAACTGTACTAGATGGTGCGACATATGGAACATTTTGGTTACATGTGAAAAGATAAAGCTGGAATTTTGATATTTTGTGTTGGGGTCCCTAGGAAATATGCATTATAATTTTACGAAAAGTACTGAACGGTACTAAATTTTGAGAAATTCTGAAAATTTGATATACTGACGGTATCTGTGTTTGAGATTTGGTGGTGGTTTAAAAATGCGTCCTATATTCGTCCGAAAAGTACTAAATGGTACTAAAATAGGAATTGGTGGAATGGATAAGGCTGGAATCCTCAAATATGATATTAAACACCAAATCTGATGAAACATATATATGAGAGCAATAGCTATATCTGAACCGATTTTCTCCAAATTGATGTACTTGCTTTTAGACCGAATTCGTTTGGATGTACCAATATTCAGGACTTTTTGAGTGATATTGGCCATATGTTGCACTATTATCCCTAAATTTGATGAAACATATATGTGGGAGCTAAAGCTATATCTGAACCGGCTTTCTCCAAATTTGATTTATTTTCTTCTGGAGTGAATTCGGTGGGATGTACCAAAATACCAGTCATTTGGACTTATATTAGGGATTCGGTGCACAATTAACCCGAAATCGGTTGAAGTTATATGGGAGCTATATCTTAATCTGATCCGATAATAAATGCGACCTGCATTTTGTTTCCAAGAATACGTGGACGGACTGGCATGCATAAATCGACTCAGAAAGTGATTCTATGAAGATCCTCAAAAGTAACTTTGGGTCTATCTAGCTTCCTTCTCTAAATGCACTTACTATATGGTGTAGGTGTCTGATTTTGAGATTTGGCGGTGGTTTGGAAATTCTTTCTAT